AAGGCTCCTGGTGTAGTGGTTGATGGCGTTAGGTGTTGGTATGTATGAGAGCCAGTTAGAGTGGTGGCTGTGTTGCGCTTATTCAAGCGAGACTTTAAGTCTATGTATGTATACAGGGCATCCCCTATAATTGGCGGTGTGGTTACCTCCGAAATTACTGCATTTCTTTATAGCCACATCAGCTTTGACAGCCTTGCAGGAAGCGGAAGCGTGAAGGTCGCCCCAGGCAACACACACTGGACGCAAGGTGCGGTATGTTCTGGTATGCCCAAATTCTGGACAATTTGTGCACTGTACGGGATCGTTTAGCTTGTGCGGCTCCTCCACTGTTATTCTTGGGTGTAGAAGGTATCGCAAGTTGTAGATTGGGTGCACTGCGTTTTTATTGATTGGCTTTGTTTCTGGCTTAAGTTCTACCTTAAACATAGGCTGAGCGATTTTAGCTCTGTTGATAATATTGACAACATTTTTAACAGCAAATCCTGCCTCCTCTAGAGCATGATCAAAATCAATGGGTACACTTGATTCTATACTTTTTATTACTACTTGCAGTCCTTTGCTCCTTTTGAGCTGGTACGTATAGAAGTTTTTCTTATCGTCATTAAGGTGTTTGGTTACCAACCGGTAATTTTCTTCAGTTAGAATCTGAAGTTTGGTATCTTTAATGTTGCCCTTGGTAGTTGACGTTACGTGGAACGTATTGTCGCCAATAAGCTGAATTAATTTATTCACGAGCTCACTACAGTTTTGCCCTCGTAAATAGATTGGGGCGGTTTGGGTTTGGCTTTGGAAACTTCATTCGGCTCTTTGTCACATTCATTGTCCAGAATCGCAAACTTATTTCTCAGTAGAGGGTTAATGTCAGTGGTTTTCGTTTTTGAAATTTTTGACGGATTTGCAATTTGTTGCTGCTGTGGGCTTAATTTTCGTTTGACTTGTATGTACCTATCAATACCCGTTTGATTCAATGTACGGGTTGTTGGATTAAGTAGGTCAACGCTGCGTTGCTTGGCTTGGACTGCTGCCGATATTCCCGTTTGTGCAGGTGTGGGTGAATTGCGTTGTGGTACCGCTGTTATTGCTGAAGTCGTGGTTGTAGTCGTTGTTGTGAGAGCTGCGCTCACCGTGGTTACTGTGCTTGTTGCTAAGCTAAAGCTTTGTCGTTGCGTTAGAACAACTTGGTCNTAGCCACATCAGCTTTGACAGCCTTGCAGGAAGCGGAAGCGTGAAGGTCGCCCCAGGCAACACACACTGGACGCAAGGTGCGGTATGTTCTGGTATGCCCAAATTCTGGACAATTTGTGCACTGTACGGGATCGTTTAGCTTGTGCGGCTCCTCCACTGTTATTCTTGGGTGTAGAAGGTATCGCAAGTTGTAGATTGGGTGCACTGCGTTTTTATTGATTGGCTTTGTTTCTGGCTTAAGTTCTACCTTAAACATAGGCTGAGCGATTTTAGCTCTGTTGATAATATTGACAACATTTTTAACAGCAAATCCTGCCTCCTCTAGAGCATGATCAAAATCACCAATGGGTACACTTGATTCTATACTTTTTATTACTACTTGCAGTCCTTTGCTCCTTTTGAGCTGGTACGTATAGAAGTTTTTCTTATCGTCATTAAGGTGTTTGGTTACCAACCGGTAATTTTCTTCAGTTAGAATCTGAAGTTTGGTATCTTTAATGTTGCCCTTCGTAGTTGACGTTACGTGGAACGTATTGTCGCCAATAAGCTGAATTAATTTATTCACGAGCTCACTACAGTTTTGCCCTCGTAAATAGATTGGGGCGGTTTGGGTTTGGCTTTGGAAACTTCATTCGGCTCTTTGTCACATTCATTGTCCAGAATCGCAAACTTATTTCTCAGTAGAGGGTTGATGTCAGTGGTTTTCGTTTTTGAAATTTTTGACGGATTTGCAATTTGTTGCTGCTGTGGGCTTAATTTTCGTTTGACTTGTATGTACCTATCAATACCCGTTTGATTCAATGTACGGGTTGTTGGATTAAGTAGGTCAACGCTGCGTTGCTTGGCTTGGACTGCTGCCGATATTCCCGTTTGTGCAGGTGTGGGTGAATTGCGTTGTGATACCGCTGTTATTGCTGAAGTCGTGGTTGTAGTCGTTGTTGTGAGAGCTGCGCTCACCGTGGTTACTGTGCTTGTTGCTAAGCTAAAGCTTTGTCGTTGCGTTAGAACAACTTGGTCTACCAGAGACATTGGCGACTGTGCATGCCCAGATGTAATGCACGAGGTTTGGGGGGAGGGAGAGAACGATTTATCGCGATCAGCATTGTTTGTGGGGGAAATGAACGAAAAGTAAGCATTTCGTCGATCAGCTGAATGCTTTCGGACAGCTTCTGTTACGGCAAAATTTATTTCACTGCACTTTGTGCTTGTTTCACTATTCGGTAAGCGCGGTGGAGCCGGAGCTGCTTTTATTTTATTGTATGTTGGCACATTTAGTTGAATTTCTCACGGCATTGCGAAAATCCAGAAAAAGTAATTTGTAATTATAGGCAAATAAGCAGAAAGCTTATTTATGCCTAGAATTGTCTTTTCGCGTTGGTTTTGTTATTTATTTTTTTTCTTTGCTTTACGTGAATTATTAATCATTTCTCGGCGGAGCGATTAAAAAACCGGCCCGCACAGGTTGACAGTCAATCAGCAGTTCTATCGAAATAAACTCAAATTCTCATGAATATTGTCAAAATTTAAAATAAAAAAAATAAATAAATTGAAAATATTTATTGAAAAACTGTAAAAATCAGTAGGCATTGGGATTCTACTGCGAATATCTTCTAAAAGGTTAGAGCAATCGATTTACCACAGGAGACCTTTTTTGTAGAGCGTTCAATTTCCTATAGAAATAATTAAAACTCATTTGACAATAATTATTTTTTAGAAAGTTACAAAATTCAAAACAAAAACTTAGTTTCCTTAAAATACTTCAATTTTTGACCTTGAATATCTTTTAAATTGTTAGATTAATGAAAAGAGTATCACAGATCATTTTTATAGAGCGTTCATTTTCCTATAAATATTGACAATGCAACTGGTTAAACGATCTATTGGTGATAAGATATGATTATTTTTATATGAAACTAAATTGAAAATGGAAAACTATGATAAGTATAATCTTCCCGTTAATATTAAGAGCTCAGATTTGGTAAGGAACTAGTTTTCGTGTGTCGGATCCAAAAAAAGTACTTCTTTTTTTTACCCACCCTAATGTACATACACACATCGTCACCTAAAATGCAAAATAACGTAACATCACTATTCATAAGTTTACAGGAGAAGCAAAAAACTATATAAAATGGAAACTACTTGGGATAATTAAACAAAATTTTCAAATCTGTAATAACATGAAACTAGAAACATATTTTAGATAAATAATCGGGTTTTTAAAGTACACTTTATGCTGTGTGCCTTACGTTATTTTGAATTGTTGTTTTCTGAAACAAAATAACGTATCATCAATCTAAATCCTTTTCTATTTATATTAATTATTAATAAATAATTGTTTAAACCAAAAAAATACCACACTAAATTTTCGTATATAACGTAAAAATCTTTTTATTAATTAAAAAATACTCAAGGGTACAAGTAATCACAGTCTGCTGGAAGCAAAGATTTGATGGGATTCGTTTACCGTTTATCCTTTACCATTTATTCGTTTTTTTTTGTCTTCTCTTTTGCTAATTTTAGTAGAACCTTGCATTTTTTCATTATAACTATGAGTATTTTCTATTAAAGAACACATTTTATTAATTTTACACCATTATTTTTCTTTCCACTTCTGTAATAACTTTCAGTTAGACCATAAATTCAACTAAAACTGAGATAACATTTAATAAAACATAAACAATAAAAAAATCAATGATATCTGTGTTCTAAAAAATATCAAATACTCTATTGTTTTTAGAATGAGTGATGATACATTATTTTGTTTAAGAAAATTATGCACTTAATGATACGTTATTTTGAATTTAGCAGAAGTTTATAATTTTGCAGATATATGTATTATGATTTAGTAAATCCTAATCAATTAAAACCCACTTTCGAATTTTTTTGCATTTTAGGTGACGACATACATAAACATTTAGAATTTCGTGTAATTGTTGTTTCAATTTTAATAAATTTTTTAAGTTAGTTAAAAGTATTATCATTGAAGTATCGTTTTATAAAAATTTGTATGTATCTATGCAATTTGATATTGTTATGTGGTTCTAAATAAAAAAATGAAATGAAATTGATTTCGCATAATTTATTATTTTACCGACCCTTTTCCTAATATTGTGTGTCGCGGTCTCAAGAATCCAAGAGTCGGCAAGCGTGGCTGTAACTATGTTGCACGCTGCCATATTTATGCAGCCATCCTGCGTCCATAACATTACTTGAACTGCGTCAGTATAGTATTTCTATTGCATAATTTTTATATGTACATATATTTCTTCTAAAGCCGAATTAGAAAGCATAAAAGTAAAGTGTCGAGAAGGAATATCTATTGCTTTAATATAACAGGCCGGCTGCACTGCTGACAAATTATAAAAATGCTGAATTTATCATGTGCACCTGATCGGGCTGTTAAGCTATAATTTTTTATATAAATTTTATGAAATTGTCGCATAAAAATGCCAATGTAGATTATTTACGTGCAATTGGGTCCAAACAATCTTCTTAGAAAGCTGCGCGTTTTACTGTTTACCAGTGTGACATATTTCTAAAACTTGTACATAATATAAATAAAAAAACATCTTTGTTTTGAATTAACATGAAAGACTTTATATATGTATTAAATGTACATATGTATTTACCTATAAATGAGTAAGTACAATACATAGAGCTTTAAAATATATTAAGTAATCTTAAACTTAAGAAAAATAAGACAAATTAAGTAGTTGAGCAATAACTTTAAGTTTCCAATTTCTATGTTTATTTGTATTTTTGCAGTTATTTAATCATAAGTTATCTATCTATAATTCTTTCTTTTTCTATTGTAGCAAAAGAATAGTTAATATCAGTAGTACTGAAGACGATGTTCACCTAGTGCATAGGGAAATGGCAAATGGAAAACAAGCAAAATCTGTTCAGGTAGATTTTGAATTTAGTAAAATAACTATTTATTATGCATTGCAAGCTACGCTCATACACAATAAACTAACAATTCTTTTCTTGTTCAAATAATAAGTTGGTGAAATAATAAGATTTACATTGCACAATTTTAAGTTTTATTATTTTTTTTCCTTATCACTTTTACCTGCAAATGTGTAAGTCTTTTTAGATAAAAGGGATTGGAAAAAGTTTCCAATCACATCTACATACATATTATGTTGTACGTATGCTATGTATAGTAATCATCAGGGAACGGATTTTATGGAAATTGCCTGTTTTTCTGCTAAAGAGTTAGAATATATTCGATTAAAAATGTCCACGATTTAGCTTTCCCTGATTCCATATATATACATTTGATGTTGCCTATTTTTGGCTTTTTTAAGATATCTGCCTTTTTTTGCCTATTGTTCCTTAAAAAAAGTGATTATAGCGAGGAAAAGGCCCTTATTCTTGATAATATAAAAGTTTCAAACATTCCATATTTAAATTGGACGCCACTTGTATCAACTCCCGTTGACCGCACGTTTCGTACATTCAAGGCTGTGTTAAAGCTTGTTCTGTTACAAAAAAAATCAAGTTGATAATGAAGAAAATCGATGGATAAATAAAGAAGTAATAAGTAGTCATATGAAAATGCGCAAAGATTTTTGGTACAAAAAATGAGCAGGAAAGACTGTAACTCATACACCATATACACCTGAAAATATCTCGATAACGTATCCATAAAATAAATAAAATAATGTAAAAAAATATTTTTTAAAAACAAGCTTTTATTTAACATGTACAATCAAAGGAATAAAATAAAGTAGTGTAACAAAAGATTTTTTAGCAAGAAAATTTTGTCAAAACTGCACTAAAATGAATAAAATAAAATAAGTTAAGGTCTCGTTAAAGTTACTAAAAGCCATTTAGTGAAAGGAGTTATTCAAACTCTAATGGAAATTACTTACAAGTTTTACTAATTTACTTCGTTTTTTCAAAAGTTTGTCGCGCGAACCGGCATTTAAATATCTGCATACATACATATACATACCTAACCAATTATGTATGTACGCTGAATTCGCCGACAAGCTTTTTTAAAAACAAAGTAAATTAGTACAAATTGTTAGTAATTTTCATTAGAATTTGGATAACTCCTTTAACCAAATGCTTTTAGTAACTTTAACGAGACCTTAACTTATTTTATTTTATTCATTTTAGTGCAGTTTTGACAAAATTTTCTTGCTAAAAAATCTTTTGTTACACTACTTCATTTTATTCCTTTGATTGTACATGTTAAATAAAGCTTGTTTTTAAAAAATATTTTTGTTTACATTATCTTATTTTCTTATTTTTAGTCCATTTATAAAAGCGGGGTATATTAAAAAGTGTTATTTTATTTTATGTACAAAATTTTGCAATAGATATTAAAATAATTCAACTTGCACTGAAAGAACAGAAGACTATGCAAGCAAAATGTTGTTTGCTTACGTTTTGTATAAACATACATATGTGCATACATATGTACTAAAGTCCAGCGGAAGTGAATTTGCCGCATTTCGTTCAATAAGTACTCCTTGCATTGTACTCTACTCCCAACACATTGTTACTCTTTTTCCGCATACATACACTACTTGGCGTTGAGAGAGTAAATACTTGACGTACTTGCTATTACTCCACCAA